CAGGGGAAGACAGCAAAAGCAGCAAGAGCAAAAAGGGAGGAGATGCAGAGAGCAGGCTCTCTTCCTCCCTTATATTGTATGCAAACTATCCACCCAGGGCGAGTGTAGCGCTCACACCCATAATCCCAGCATTGGACCCTGGATCAATCAAAAACTCTAGAAGCCTGCCCCATGACTGCATGAAGCATTGGGAGGACATCCAGACACAAACCATAACCGCAGTAAGGCTGCCCAGGACAGATTTTGCAGGTCTGGGGTGTCTTGGTAAGGGGACTATCTGCACCTCTCGTATTGGTCCCCAGAAACCACCGACTATAAACAATGAAGAGGGGTGATTCCTATAGTGATGTAGCAATTTGAAAGCATGCTTTGGCAATGTTTATTCTCTTTTCCATTCTATTTACAAAGTTTTATGGTGTTATATAGCCCCAAGGAGTGTAACAGATATGTTAAGCCAACCTAATCCCCTTCAGGAATAACAGAGACCATGCCCAGCTCCTGGGAGTGCCACCAAATAGACCTCATCTGTCAGCCTCCATTGGGGTTGCCACAGATTCAGGTCAACTTTCTCCCTACAATCATGCTTCTTTCCCCCAATCATATCAAATAACTCGCTTGTACAAGCATGTGAAAGCTGTGCGGTCTCTCCTAATCCTGGGTAACTCTGAAGTATTGTCTCACCATGACTTCCTGAAAAGTTGTATGAGGCATCCAATGACCTTCTTCCCAGCTCAGCTTCTCCCCTGCCCACTCCTCCCCTCCCAAGAGCACTCCTGAAAAGGAGATATTACCTCAGTCCTCTTTGGTCCAGAGACAAGAAGCAGGAAATTTTGCCATGCCAAAGAACAGGGCGTGAAGGTGTTTTACAAGTCTTTTACTAGATGGGGGGAAGTGAGACATCAATTATGAGTAATAAATCCTGAGGACCTACCTATACATAGGTGTGTGACTCAAATTCTTACCCAGTACCAATGCAAGTAAAACCATTTCAAATGCTACTTATTCTCTACTGTCTTCTTTCTGTGTCTATCTGTCCTTGCATCTCATTTATTATTCCTCTCCTGACCACATCTGCATCCAAACACAAGCCTGGTATTATCTGAGAAACATAGCAAGGTCCTCTTGCCTAAATGTAATTCTTTAGTGAGCTGGCACACCTCCCTCTCCTTTATGTACACAATTTCAGTACTGAAACCATGCTTTGGGGTAAATTAACAGCCAGATTCATGAAGCTTCCATTCAGGTGCACATGCACATTCCATGGAGGAAAGGCGCTGAGAGCTCCATCTACCTCATGAAATAGTTATTGTCTATGTACAAAGTTTTTGCAGTTAACTTGTGAAAAACCACTATGGAATGAGGCAAGCTTGGCCGAAAGGAGATACCAAGTACAACAGGTAAGTTTCCCTGAGATGGGAGGGCACTTGGAATGTCAGCCAGAAGTCCAGGTATTGTCAGAGTCACTCCTCTTTTAGGGATATGTCATGGTGTAGAAATAAACACAACCTGATGGAAGGGAATGTCTAAACTATGGGTAGCTCAGAAAAGCACTCATCCACTGTCTGAGTTACCAAAGAAGTCTAAGTTTTCAAATCAAATAGGTGCTCTACATACATGGCCTGACTCAACCTCGGGCGGCAGTGCTTGTGTTTCTATGGTGTGGATTGTGGACCAACCCTTCCTTTTAGAATACCCTCTTCCCTTGGGCCCTGGCACCCACTTGTCTACAGGCTTCCTTCTGTCCCTTGCCCTCTTTCTCATGTGTTATTTGCTTCTCCTCTTTTGGACTCTATTCCTTCTTTTCCTTATCTTATACACTTCCTGGTGAAAAGTGCTAAGTTTCTGAGCAAGTGTGGAAACCGTGGGGATAAGGAACAGACACCATGTGAAAATGACCAGGCAGGAGTTAGAACTCCCTCAAGTTCGACAGATAGAAGGAAGTAGTCCCGGGCTCCCACCTCTCCATCAGGGTGAGAAGATCCTTGTCAAGATGCTGCAACTCTCTCCAGATACCTCTGCCTGCCTTCACCTATAATTACCCTATATGCAGGTAATGGTGATTGCAGATTTACATTTTTGTCTCTCTTATTGGACTACAAAATGCTTGAGCATAGGAATCATAACAGGCAAACTTTCCCGAGGAAATAAAGGAGTAAATGTTTATATATATGCAGAGGTTAATGTAGCAAAAGCCACATGTGTTCCCCAAGATCCAATGCTGGCTTATGGTATCAAAGTTCCAATAAATCCTCACTGACCACAGTGAAAGTGGAAGCATTTCAACAACTTTGAGACTTCTTTATTCACAGAGGTTAATGCTGCGTTTTCTGCTTATGTGAGTTCTGGCTCTTAAGCCAAGCCTGAAGCCTAGGATGGCCATCTCTTACAGATTTTGGTATCTCATATACTTTGTAGCTGCTTGGTTAATAATGGGTCTAATGGATTGATAACAGAGACCATGTGGCTCCAGCCACACAGGTAGGTTTGCCTTTATCTCCTGAGATGCTCCTACTCTGTTCACATCGCACTAACTACACTTCTCAAGTCTCCTTCCCCATCCTATAATCAACAAGGGCCACAGAGCCCAACACTCCTGAAACACTTGTACTTATTCACAACTGTATGCTTTCCTTTTTTTTTTTTTTTTGGTACCAGGAATTGAGCTCAGGACCTTGCACTTGCCAGGCAGGTGCTTGTGCCACTGAGCTATATCCCCGGCCCAACTGTATGCTTTCCAGTGCCACACAATCATGTGTTAAAACATGTATTTTTAACCTTTATATCTCTTCCTCTATTATTTCTTTCATACTGCTTCACACAGGAGATTCTCAAAGTAAATGGCATGTACATGTAACCCAGCTACCCAAGGGACTGAGGTAGGAGGATTACAAGTTTCAGGCTATTCAAGGCAACATGGTGAGACCCTGTCTCAATTAACACACACACACACACATGCACGCACACACACACACCACGAAAACCCTTAAGAATATATGACCAGCTGGTTAAATATTTTGTGTGATATGTGTCTGTACCAATTCCCTAAGATGAATGCTGCCTGTTTACTGAAATACTAGATACACAGACAGTAAGTAGAACATTTTAGGAGGAAAGGCATTTAAATTCCCTTCGCCTGGTGCAGAATGCTGTAGCCTATCCTTGAGGAAAAGGAAGTCAGAATTTCTAAAATCGAGGGGCCCAGGGGAAAATAGAATTCCGTTCTGCCAAGCTCTGTGTAAAGTGGGAAATCTTTCCCTACCATGTAGCTTTCCTCTCTTCCACTGTCTGAAACACAGCTTCAGAGAGTGGTGACCCGAATCTCAAAGCGACAGTGCCTTTGCAGGGTAACAGGTTTTTCTGTCAGGTCTGTTTGAGAATCAGCGGCAAACCCGGGCTGACAGTTGGCCCGCAGGAGCGCATGCAAGAAGGGCTTGTTACACTTTGCTTCCAGTCCCAAACCAGGAAGTGCTGTTTAACATCAACTCAAGACAAAAGCAATCTAGCCTCAAAAAACAAAACTCGCCAGACTTTAGAAGGACTCTGCGGGCTTAAATCTGGGATGGTGCTCTGGTTTAGATTAGAATCTCTGGCCTCCTGCCCATAAAACATTAAACTTTCACAACTGCCAAAACAAGGTTAAGGGGCACAGAACACAGAGGCGTTTGCACACACTCACAGACCCTTTCCTTTGGTGATCTGCTTCCTTATCTAGACAGTCCAGGCGGGAGTCAGATTTGAGTTAGTAATCTCTCTCTTGCCTCAGGCAGGGCAGACTGCAGAGGTGTCTAATTCTCCAGATTCTCGGGGAGCAGAATCGAGGCGGAGCCGGCCACGCCCGGGTCGGATTCTGCGGTTGCACAACTGTTAGCTGCGCCTGGGCAAGTCCAAGGGGGAACCCTGCAACCTCCGCCCCCTACCCTTTCTGACCCACCAGGACCCGAGCAGTTCCCGGGCAGGGGAGGGTCACCCGGGCACGATCGGGGCGGAGGGCGTCCAGCTCGGAGCCCGGGACAGCTTCGGAGGGGGCCGCAGCCTGCAGCGGGCAGGAAGGGGAGGGCCCAGCGGGCGCCGGCCGCGGGGCGCGGGCTCAGGCTGGGTCGGAAAAGCTGCCTCAC